GGGGGGGGGGTAGATGTGAAATTATCCCGTGTTGCTGCTGCCGCCGCTGCTGTTGCTGTGAGTTGGATTGCGCATGTCGGGATAATAATTATGATAGTGAATAATGCCCCGCGATTAACGGCACCGTGTGAAGGTGGGGAGGATTGGCTGGAGTCCAGCGGACGCGCATTGGATATGCTAATGAGGGACGGACTAAGCAATTAGCCGCCTCACTCTGAGACTTTATCCGTCTCTTTTTCTCCTTACCTCCCCCCAACAACACAACACACCAAACCTCTTGTTTTTGAACAGTTCACAGGGGGTGGGGAGGGGGGGGGGGGGGGGGTCTGAAACTGGGAACGCCGGGGCTCCTTTCCCCTCTCCTTTAACTATAACTCTGAAGTGCTCTTCTCTCAGTGTCTCTCATTTGCATCACTCTGGCCTTAATGCTCCCGTTTTTTTTAGCGCATAACTTCTGAAAGCGTCCTCCCGTGCAGACCGTCTCGAGGTCTTGGCTCGACTTCTCCCTCTTTCTCTGTCGGTAACTTCTATTTTGGTGCGTGTCCGGGCTGAATACACGCACCTCCTCCTGCTTCAAAGCAAGCGACGTTCAGACTCAAGAGATGTCGCCGCGGGCTTTAAAGTTTTCCTCCTGATGGACACCCCTTTGCGGTGAAGTGGATATTTGTGTCGCTACGAGGGGGGGGCACCGGGCGACAGGAAAGTTTAACCGGACGAGTTAAGTTTGTGAAAAATGATCACCGTGTCTGGATTCTGTCGTGGCGCAGCTCCACTCTCCAAACTTTTGACGCGCGTCTTTCGGGAGTGAGCGGCGGTCCTCCAAAAAAAAAAAAACGTTCATGCGAGCAAAAAAACGTGTTTGTCCCGTAAAAAAATAATAAGTCGATTCAGTCTTCTTATAACGCGTTAGGAGACTCTCCCCCGTACTCCTCCTCTCGCTGCGTCTCAGCTCCCGGTTGCGCCCTGCTCTCAGTGCGCGTTCCGTAAAGTGGATTATTTTGGCGAGCGAAGGCGTCCGCGGGCGCTTTGCTATACGTCCAAATATAAAAAAAAATAAAAATAAAACTTCTGTCGGGTTGTCTCTCCCTCCTGCCGGTTATCTGGCTCGTAACTAAACAGAGTTCTAAGTTATCTCGCGGCAGCCCGCGAGCAGCGTCGGTCTCTCTGTCGTTGTTGGGAATGGCTCTGAGTGAGTGTGTGTGTGTGGGGGGACTGCGCCGTGTGTGTGAGAGTCAACCCCCAAGCAAGGGGTTCAGCCCATTGCTTTCAGCCACCACTAGGATGTACCACCACGTTACTGTTCACTGGATCGTCCCTCAAGTCTCCAGTGTGAACACCCAGGTTTGACCTCCCATCATAAAACACCGCGCAGCTCTGCTTATAACCGAGTGTCATATTAATCTGCCCAAGCAATTTTCTTTTTATGGGACAAAGACTCCATTAAAGGGTTTTTCTCTTGGATAAAAAAAAACAAAACATCAAGCTATTTTTCAACCTTTCAGTTTCTAAACTTTTTTTTCCCCTCCAGAGCTACTGCCTGTTAAAAGTAACACATTTGATCATGTAAATGAGGGGGGGTTGTGTGTGGCCTGTTTAAACTTATCAGCATTCAAATAATCTGTCATTCGACCAATATTTACTCCTTTTTCTGCATGTGATGTGTATGAAAAGAGGTGAAGACTCGTCCCGGACACGTTACACACATTTTAACCCTTTACCTTGTGATGTATTTTGTTTTCTTTCTTTTTTTTACATACACACAAGCGAATGCGTCTGTAGGGGAAAGGGAGACAAAGGGTTGGGACGCAATGGCACACGAGGAGAGAACGCGCTGGATTATATATATATATATTTTTTTTCCTTTATCAAATAAATTCTGTGTGTGTCAGTCTCGTTGTCACGTTTTAGAATCAGTTTTACGGCAGTGACTGATCCTCATAAATTTCTTTCTTCTTCCTCGCTTGAGCCTATCCCCCCTCCCTCTTCCTCCCGGTTGTCTGTCTGACTTCTTCACCCTCCTATGAGAGACACATCTTTTGACAAGGTCGTCCTGCGAGCAAACTTTCTTCTTTCTCCCCCCTCTCCATCCATCAACCCCTCTGGAGTCATGTCCAAAAGCCCGTTATTATCTGGTATTAATAGATGCAGCCCCCAGGAAGACAAAATCAGCTATTGATAATTGCAAGGAGTATACGGGCAGCTACTGTATTGATCGGCGTGTCCTCCACTCCCCTGGTACCGCGAGATAAGGAGACACACTCTTTAGAGCAATATAATTTCTTTTGACCTATCTGCTTGCTACAGACTTATGATGAATAGCCGCAGTGGCCGAAGTCCTTTATCACCAAAGTTACCCCCTTGATATAATATTGATTCTTTATAACTAGCTCGCCACACAAAAATCAAACTGTCCACTTGGCCATCATCATCATCAATATCATCACAAAGGCGGTAGGAATGAAGATCCGCGCGCCTCAGTGGGCGAGCCTTTACAATCTCCCTCTGTAGGCCTAATCTTTATTTTGCTGATGATGAAAGGGAAGGGGAAACGAGGCAAGGTGCCATTTAAGACCAGGTGCTATTTAATCCGGTGTAGACAACACACACGGTGCAGGGTGGGTGCCGGGGTGGGCTTACAGGCAGACTGAAC